CCCCCCCCCCCCCCCCGCTTCTAATAAATTGGCTCAAGCTAAATTAACCAAAATTACTGCATGTTGAAAGAGAAGATCAGCTTGTTATTAATTTTATTATTTTTCCTAAAAGGTATGTTGAAAAAGGTTTATCATGCAACTAATTTGGTAATCACCAGTTAGCAAATGCACTCATTGCCACCTACCCAGGTGAATCAGGTTAGTAGCAAATGAAACATGGTACAGTTTGGATGGGTAATTATATCTTCTTGTAAACTAAGGAACAAACATTGTCTTAAGAGTCCTCGGTGACTAAAATCCTAGTAACAGACACAAAAGCTCAGGTGACACCATCAGAGCATTTCAATCATTGACCTTAAATTGGGCCTCTGACATCAGAAAGGGGTACACAGAGCCTACTGCATTTTACAGTGTTAATTATAATCTCGGGGCGGGGGGAAGGGGGGGGCGAGCAAGGGGTGAAAAATTGTCCAGATTATATCACAGAGCATCTTAAACCTTAGCCATTCATGAGGAGACCTAAACTGCCCCTGATCCTCAGTCTTTTGATTTTACTTAAAGATGGTACCAATACATCACATACACTTGCTTTTCTGCACCACCCACCACTGGCACCTAAAGAAAGATACTCTGTCAGCCCTGCAGTTGTTTGGTTTTTAATTTTTTTCCAAAAGCAGAGTAAACAGTATCAGGGACAATCTGATGCCTGACTTTTCAAAAGCACCCCATCTTTCCTCAGGATCCTTATTCTTTGCAAACACTTAGCACCTCTTGCAGGTTCCCTGCACTACCGAGAAGAAACTTTTTATCCCTCAGTACCTTTAGAGCCTTCCTGTCTGATTTTTCTGATTTTTCACAGTTTTAGAGAACTTAGGAATCATAGTGGCAGTGGGATGGTTGAGGGAATTTTCCTTCTGAAAACTCTGGGGATCAGGTTTGGGCTTTGCAATGCAGCGTCTCATCCAGGAGATGTAGAAATCAGAATCACATCATCTTCCATTTTGTTTAGCTTGATTCAAAGCCAATTGGAATGTGTACAACACCGCACTGCAAACCTCCACCAAACCCCCTCCCCTGGTGATTTTGTGAGCAGCCTCTGGATGGGATAGCTTTATCAGGATCATTATCCTCCTTTGATCTGGCCAGAGGGAAATGAACTGGATGAGTGCTCTGTTGTGCCACACAGAGACCAGCCAATGCTCTCCACAGGATGTGCAGGCAACAACACACTGTAGCTTGAAGTTGTTTTGCTAACATGATCCTCACAAGGGCTGTAGAAAATATATCTGTTTGGCATGGTGCCACTGCACTGCTCTTTGTGATCTGATGACATCTCCCAGCCAAAGGCAGGGTAGCCCAGGTGAATTCCTGAAGGACAATTCAAGAGGGGGGAAAAAGAATATTTTCTAGGTCCTGGGGGCTTCCTCATCCCTTGAGGTGCTGCTGTCTCTGGAAGCACTGTTCAGCTAGTCCTTAGAGATGTCTTTTGGGATGCTGAAGCCTGGAGGGATGGTCTAATGTAAAGCTGATAGCTACAGGAAATGTTCACTGCAAACCACATGAAGATGAAATTTTTGTGCCTTGCTAGGGAAATTATTCCTGGAGTGGTGACCAAGATCGACCAAATTTATCAGGGACCTGCCCATAGCACCATTCTGACAAGTCTTCCAGTGGTGGATGAGGTGCAAACACTGGGACAACTTTGCACCATGCAGTCATAGCAACATCAGCTGAGACCTGCAAAATCTGCTCTTCTCACCAGCTCCACTGAAAACGGGAACAGCCTGCATCTAGGGTTAAATCATCGGAGGCATATTCACTGCTGGAGAAGTCTGTGTTACACTGATGTAGCTGACGGAAGGATACAGCCCTTAGCTATATTATATATATTCCTGTATAGACAGGGGCAATCCACCAAAGCAAGGTACTATAGCACATAACTCACAGAGCAGGCACGTGCCTCTGTGTGTATGTGTGTGCACCTGGGTATGTGAGAGACAGAGAGAAAGATGAGATATATTGGGAAACATATGAGAGATGAGACTGGAGAGATAATTTCCAGAAAGTACAGCCACCATCAGAAACTCTGTCTTTCCAGCTGGAGGCTTTTACGCTGCTGGTGCTTCTCTCTTAACTTGACAGCTCAACTCTTAGCCCAGCTCGTAGTCGCTGCCTATAAATTTAATTAGAATGGGGGTAGGGGAGGAACAAGCCTGCGCGGCGCTTGGCACAGGGCTGAAAATAACCAGCTTTAATACCTTTGACATTGAAGCACCTGCTAAGGGCACAAACCGCTGTACAGCTGGCCGACCCTCCTCTGAAGACAGGATGTGTCACGTCGCTTGGCCTCAAAACGTGCGGCCCACCCCGAGAACCTGGGGAATCGTATGCACTGCTCCGAGGCTTGGCCACCACCAGGCAGCATTTCACTCTGGAGCAATCAGAGGGGGATGTTCAGCATCCCCGACCACGTGAAAAGGGAGAGGATTTCATTTTTCTCTTCCTGATGTAGTGGGCTATTTCCCGTGTTTGCAAGTAAGCGCTGCGCCGCAGCCAGCCGTGAACATTCCCCTTGGCCCAGCTGGCCTCTCGCTTTAATGCTGTTCTCAGGGCTTTCCCTGGGTACAGCACTGAAGTAAACAGATTGGAACTTTGCCCCCCCCCAACATATATATATATATTTAATTGTGTGCTAGGGAAGTGTAATAGACGGATCACTTCAGACAGAAAACTGCCCAGCTGAGGCAACAGGTTAGAGATTTGCCCCACTTCTGGTGCTTCTTGAGATGTAGCCGCTCTCACCTAGGTACTGACTCATTGACAGAGATTGTCATACCTTTCATACCATTTCTGATTTGGGGGTTATTTGGCCTCTTCCCTAGGCATGCTGCAGGGATCTACTTGTGCCTTTGTCATCGTGGTGTTTGGAAATTCCCCATCTGAGAAGGGAAAGCCTCTCTTGAGGAGCCCAGTGGTGGCAGCACCAGGATGCAAGTGGAGCCTGAACTGAATTTAACCTTTTTACCACCAGCAAAAGGCAACATTGCTGCAGCTAAAACCAGTTTTCAAAAATGTGAGGGCGAGACAAAATGACGGCTTAAACATGCTACTGAATCATGCAATATTAGACCTTTTCAGACTTAGGAAACGCCTTCAAGAGGCCAGACTGCCAAGCACCAAAAGTGTAGTTGCGACTATGCAACAGTCCATAATGCAACAGCTCTAATGTGAAGTTATTACCGCAGGCGCAGTGTTGATACCTGTGTTAAGCCTCTGAGCATTGCCCAGTGTGAACTATGTGTTTCCACAAGACTGAGCAGACCCAGACAGAGCTGATTGCTCTTGCAGTTAATAAAAAGCGCTGCACTTTCTCTCTTGACAATCCCGACACCTGAGTGCTTCCTACGTATGACAGTTAGCACATTCTGGTTGCTCAGTGGCCTGTGAGAAATGAGCCTCTTCTCAATTTAGTTCCTATCATCAGACAAGCGGTACACACAATAAAAAACACACCTTGACAGTCAGCCCCCAAAGTAGCCCTAGGGACCGAGGGTCTGGACTTCCCTTTTTCTCATACACAAACCCCATAAAAGTGATATAATTTATTGGGCTGGATTCTGCTCCCTACTACCTTCAGGTAAATCAGGATAACTCCACCGAGGTCAAAGAGTCACTCTGGTTCAGTGTCAAGCACAGAATAGCCTAGGGGAGCAGAGCCTTTCCTGACTCCACCATGTTTTTTCTCTAGATGGAGCTTGTCAAGCTCTCCTGACTTGCATTGACATCCATGGCCTGTCACAAGGTCCCCTCAATCAGGACAGTGTAAAAGCACATTAGAATCATAGAATACCAGGTTGCAAGGGACCTCAAGGATCATCTGGTCCAACCTTTCTTGGCAAAAGCACGGTATAGACAAGATGGACCAGCAGCATCCTGTCCAGCTGAATGGGGAATCCATCTCTTCCTGGAAAGATTATTCTAATGGCTGATTCTTCTCTTTGTGAAAAATTTTCCTCTTGTATCCAATGGAATCTCTCCCAGAGTAACTTGTACCATTACCCCTCATCTTTTCTGTGTGACTCCTTGTAAAAAGGCAGTCTCCATCTCCTTTATAGCCACTTGGTGATAAGGTCTCCCCTAACCCTTCTTATCTCAAGGCTGAACAAATCCCATTCTCTCAGCTTTTCCTCATACAGCAAGCTTCCCAGTCCTTTGATCACTTTGGTGGCTCTTCTCTGGACTCTCTCCAGTCTGTCCACATCTTTTTTGTACAGGACAAACCTCAACACGCTATTCCAGGTGTGGCCTGACAAGCGCTGAGCATTTGGTCCAGGAACTGGCCTTCCTGTAGCAAAGAGCATCAGGATGGGTATGGTCTTCCCTCCCAGGACGGTAAGAAAGGTGGACGGCAGAGGTGGGTGGATGTTACGACGGGCTTCGCTCCAGCACAGCCCAGCCCATCAGGTCATGTCAAACGGAGCTAATATAAATGTCAGTGTGCTGCTTTCAGTTGTGAAATCTCTGTTTGTTGTAATGCAGTTCATTTTCAGTCTTCCAGCTCTATGGATGCTATCAGCTGACACGTCTGGCTGGTATCCTCTGCCAAAAATACACACGCTCTCAACATTTCTCAGGAGTTGGGTTTTTTTCCCCCTCTGTGACATACTCATGTCAAATTTCTTCCTGGCTCTGTGAGACACAAGACTGTCCACACCTACCAGATAATGAGTTTAACATTTCAAGGACAGAAGCTCTCATTCTAAGCAAGACACAGGGTGGATTTGCAGGCCTGATTTGGGGTAGGTGCCAAAGGTGGCAGCAGTCTTTTTAGCTTCTCTGGCATGCTCTGTTTAAGATAATCAAAACCGGCAGAAACAGATGAAGTATAGCTCAGAGTAACATCAGTCTTATTGTTACTGTTAAATAGTATGCGGTTATTAACAGTAGCTTAAATTCTTCTCTCATTGTTCTTTGCTTTTAGAATAAATTAAATGACCTTTTTGCAGGTCAAGCCAGAGTTGGAAGCCGTTCTGCTCCCTGGATCCTCCTCAGGGGTGTCCTGTCCTGGCCCTCCATTGGTACAGTTATCAGGTACACTCTTGCTTCACTTTCTGCTTCATATCTGAGGCATTTGCCTCCTCTCTCCTGGTGATGCCCACTCTCTTCCTCTTCTCCAGCCCTTGGTCCCCACCTCTCACATGTTCTTCCAACTGCATTTTTGACTTCTTCCTCAACTTTCCCCTTTTTGTCTTTGTTTATAGTAGTGTACAGGCTCTTGATGATTTCTCTGAAGAGAAAATTGAATCATGTTGTTTTTCCTGTCTTCCTCCCTCTCCCATCACAGTCACAAACATTTTTCTTCTTTTCTTACCCTTATAACCCAGAAGTCTAATTTCATCCCTTGATCTTTAGTTTCCCCTCTCATTTCCTTTCTCATACGGCTGAACCTCTCAGTGTTCTCTGTTCTCCAGCTCTCATAATACAATGCTTTATTCCTTCCATTTGTAAGCATCACTCTTTGTCTCTGTTTGCCTCCCTTGAAATCCTTCTCCCTTTCCTATCTAAGTTTGCTCAATGTGCTTTCTCCACCTTCTCTGTCCTAAGTATCCAACCTTACATCCCAATGAAATAGCTCTCAACAAAACCTTTCTGTATTTTTGGGGCAAAACTTGACAGCAGTATGCCAACCCCAGCCTCTTGACACATCAGCAATTTTTAGCATTATTACTTACTTTTTGAAATCTGTTCTTCTAAGCATCTGTGACTCAGTCCTCTATTGATGTTGTTCTTATTGACTGAAGTCTCCTCATCATCTCCCCACCCTCCAATTTTGTGTTGGTTTCACAGATACGTATCCTTAGTCTCTTCCTCTTCTGCTCCCATACCTTTCTCAAGGCAACCTTATCTGCATATACAAACTGAAGTATCACTGCTATGATAATGACTCACAAGTCTATTCCAGACTTCTTTTCATTTACCCAAAAGTAAAATTTCAGGCAGTGACTTTGACATTTATTCACTCATGGTGAGCCGTTATCTTAAGATGACCATGAATTTCAAATTTCGACTCCACAAAATCCTGCCTCTTTGTCTCTCCTTTTTTTCTGTCATGACATGGGGCCCACACTTACATTTACTAAGACTTCTAATGTAAACAATTTCTTCAACTTTCTCGCCTCCCTCTAATTTATTACATATAGGCTGTGTCTATGTCTTTCTGAGTTTTATTTATAGCAAACAGAAAAGATGGAGACTTTCCTGGTCCTTCACACAACTGAAACTCCCACAGAGGTTCAGAATGACCTGCATTTTATCTGTGAAAACATCCTTTTTTGTGGAAAAATTGGATCACGTGCCTTTTTTTTTCAAAATTTCTCTGTAAATGTAATTTCTCTAGCTTATTGGTGTGACCAAGTCTTGGCTTCCTTCCCCTGGAAGGAAGATCTTTTCCCATGACAATTCTTCTTCAGTTTCAACAAATACAAGCTACTCTTCACTTTGAAGGCACACTTCTGACTTATTCACTCACTACCACTTCAGCTTGGTCTGCCCAAAAACTGCTGGTCACAGTCAGGAGCAGGTCTTACTGTCAGCCAAGGACCCAGACTCCCCTCCACTCCTCTTCCCTTGTTTTTGCTTGTGCACCTCCTGGGACAAGAGCTAGATTTTATATTTCTACAGTACCAACCACAGCAGCTGTGAGATGCCTCATGCAATGTTAGTAATAAATAATACGAATCTAAAAAGGGTTTTGAAATGGCAGTGTGTGAACAGAATGGGACAGCAACCAGAAACATTGCTCCAAACCATGTGTTTGAGGCACCCACACTTCAGCCTTGATAACTGGTGGATCAGCCCACATGATTTCAGGTGTCACACCAATGTAGGACCACCAAGATCAGAATCAGTTCCTATGGCCAGTGAGTAACAGCAGTGCTCTTATTTTGGCAGGCCAGCATCATTCCAGCAACCAGCACAGGGGAAAAACATGCACACACGCCGCCCTCTCTGCCCGTGGCAGCCAGAGCACCTTTCAGATATCCCACCTCACCTGCTGACACAATCCATCAGCACTCACTGAAATCAAATGCAGCTAATTGGAAGGTGATGACAGCCAGGGGACTGCTGGATTTGCATGCTAATTCCTCTATTTTAGCATCACACAGCCAAACTACAGGTAAAATGAGACTGTGCGCTTAATTCCAGACGATTTCCTGTCTTCTCCTCCACGGCACACATGCATACGCACACATATACTTTCTCTTGGGTTTTGCTGTCCTGAAGCCAAAAATCAGCTGGAGATTGTATTACATGAGCTTTCCGAAAAGCCAGCCAAGAATTGCAAGGGGCAACATGTTTTTGTCCTCTTGTTAGGACAGGGCTGCAAACTGCAACTGTAGATGAGTCTTTAAATGTCACAGCAGCGCAGCTCGCGGCGGGGAGCACAGAGCACTTTCTGCAGGCTGGGCTACAGCTCCCTCATTCTTTTTCTGCCAGGGCTCAGGATGGATTCCTGGCTCTTGTTTCACACAGTCTTGTTGAAGTTTTGTTTCGAGTATTCAGCCTCCTCTCCTGTTCTGCTGCTGGCCTCTGCGCCTGCTCTGTCTACCAATTATTTCCTTTAAGTGTCAGCAGCACACCCAACACACTGAGATATAACCTTTCTTCGAGCTGATGCTGTTAAACTATTACTTGAAACTGAAGTTGCAGTTGACAAGTGCTACTTCAGTCACTAATAACTACTTCAGAAGTGCTAGTGGTGTCTTGGCTCTTAATGTTGTGGCTCAGGGCTCGGGGAGTGTCTTTACAGGTCATTTAGAGCCATCCATCTGATCTGAAACAAGATCACTCAATCTCTCCTCTGGCTCTGCGCCTTGCTTGCCTTGAGGTTCTCTGTTTATCCCCCCCGGGCTGAAGCAGTGGCCTGTCTGGGTGGCTGTCGTGACTTCCCAAATCCTAGAAGACCCCACCTGTGAGAAATAAACTGACTGTCAGTGTTTGCAGCAATAAAAAGGTGAGGGCTCCAATCCCTTGAGGCTGAACATTTCCCTTTCAAGGGAGAAGGCACTCCTCTCCTTGCCCCCATCACAATTTTCCTGTTTTTTGGTTGTTTTTTTTTTTTTTTAAATCAGGTTGAACACCCTCCTGAGAAGAGCACAATTCCTGTAACGAAGGAGGATGAGCGCTGAGACACACACCCCAGCTCTGCAGCAGCAGGTAGGGAATAGCCTTCCTTTCCTTCCACATTCCCCTTTTTTCAGGCTCAACTCCTTCAGCCCGATCAAAATATCTGAGGTCTCTCAGACCCAGGGGCTTCTCAGTTTGGCAGAGGTCACAAATATTTCCCTTATATTTTGGCAGGTTTTTGGCACAGTCGTAGGATATATTGGGAACAGAGTAATATAAGACAAGGCCAGATCATCTGGGTCACTGAGCCTTATGCCCTGTTACTGCAGACAATCCTGTAAGAGATGTTAAATCCAGAACAACCTCCGCTTTTCCTTTGCCTCCTGCACATAACAAGCCACAATGTGGTATAACAAACTGGGTCTGGCTTTTCAACAGAAACAAGATATGTCAGGTTTTAAGTCTCCTTGACATGACAATGACTTCATCTAAATCCTGAAGCCATCCTTTGGATAGCCCAGCCTTGGTCTAATGTCTTTTAGAAAATGAAGCTCATTTAATTCCTGAAATGTGAAATCTAGGTCTCAGGTCAAGAGCACAGATATTCTTTAGCTGAAAAATTCAGATCCATCAGAGACTGTCTGTAAGAGCCTGTAACTTTTCAAACTCTGGATTGCAACTAGACTTTATATATAGTCTTTTGAAGAGTAGGATCTAAACAAAAATACCCTTGAAGAACGGGGCACTTTTTATGCTCCCATCCTCACAATTTGTTAGGAAACAAAAGACTTCTTCAGGGACACAACTTGTCTGTACAGAACAAATAGCCAGACCTCAGCTTAAACTTTATTCCTCCTTTACTCTGCATCCAGCCCCACATTCCATCCTCAGACAGGAGTTTTATGGCACTCAGTGGGAGAATCCCCTAAGACAGGCAGGGTCAGATCATACAGCTGAAGGGACTTGCCACCATGGGAGATGTGGAAGCACCTCAGCCAGAGCAAGACAGCTGCTTCATAGAAAAAGAAACCAAAAAAATTCTTATCTTAGTAATCATATGGACAATTTCGATCTATTTCCAAGCAACCAGGCATCACCCCTTCATGGCTATAAGACAACAGACCACTGGCCAAGCCACTTTGGTAGTAAAGCAATTAGCTAAATCTCTTGCCAAGCAAATTTCTAACCCTCAGAATTTGTGTTTGTTATGGGCAAGATGTATTTACAGCACAGGGAAATTTTCATCCTCAGTAGGAGATACAGCTGGGCCAAAAAAAGTTTGTATTGCACCTGTATCTAGTACAGATTGTATATGCATATGAGTTTCCAGAAGGCAACAAAAAGCTCATTCATATGGCAATTGGGTCTTTATATCCTCTCCATGTGTATGAACTTATGGTTGTATGAACAGCCATATCCAGTTATTGAAGTATTTGATGATCCAAAGTGCTCAAGGCCTTCTTATTCCATCTCATTCACCGTTAAAGTTTTGTACAATCTTTTTACTGGCTTTCAGTCTGCGATAAATACAAATGACTTGCCAATAAAAGCTGGTGTCTCCCTCCATCAGGAGGACTATAGCATCATTGTTATTTAAGAGGTGGCAGTTTTGACACAATGCTTATTTAAAATTCGTAAAAGGAAAAAAAAAAAGATGATGTAATAAATCTGCACACTCTTCCTAAGCAGCCGTTGAAAGTCTGAATGCTCTTCCCCTTTCCAAAAGCATCAGCCGTTTAATGTTTCCTAAGTTGTTTTTACATGAATTAGGGCGTTTGAGTGAAGCACTGTCAGTTACAAAACCACGCTGTTGTCTCCAGCTAATTTTGTGTTAGCAGCTCTTTTAAACTGCTAAATCTAGTTTTTAGTGTATGATGATTTTGTTTTTTGATGGTGTAAAACAGCTGCTACTTTTCTGATGAGTTGCCTGTTTTCCATTTTATGTCTCTGCAAGATGTTGGGTTTCATCATGGCCCAGTCTGACAGGCAGCTGAGAGCAACCTGCAAAAAAAACCCAAACCAAAACACAGCAAAAACCAAAGATCCCCAAATCCAGGGGCTCAACGATCCATACATCCAGATTTCGGAGTGACTGGTCCTCCTCCTGCTTCACTTGTGCCCTGAGATCATCTCAAAGCTGGACGTACACTAGGATGATCTAAATGAGGAGAAGGAAGCAGGATTACCAGGAAAGAAGGTTACTTGCTGCTTTAAGAGGACACGTGAGAGGACATCCAAACTCCCCAAGGCTGTTTCTGGGGGGCTGGTGCAGGTTGGGATGGCCATGCCAGTTGTGTCACTGCTGTGCATGCTGCTGGAGGGGGATACTGCATGACAAAAGGCTGTGGCACCTACGCAGCCTTTTCTGCACTGGGGTGACAGAAGACAGATGTCAAGCAGGGTGAATTGCATTTCAGGTGCTTAGTTCACCTGGATTCACTCCAGAACCAGAATGAGAAATTAGAGCCAGATACCATCCTTTGCCTGTTTCCATGTCCCTAACCTTTAGCAAAGGCCAGCTACAGAAGGCCAGGGAGGCTGGCACTGGTGTGCTCAGTCTAGTCCTCAACCTGATATAGCAACGGAAGGTGGCCCAGGCATTTAACCCTCCTACCTCTAGCCAGTGGTGCATCTCCTGAGGGTCCAGAAGGATGAAAATATGGCTTGGAGTGTCTTTCCAATTTAATTATCAGTCCGCTTTTCTCAGACCCTTCTTGCCTGCCACTGCTTTTTCATTGAAGTTCTGCATGAACTTCTTGGGTGCCAAACTCTTCTACTCGGCAGGACCCAGGATGCGGCTGCTCGTGGCAGTCAGGAGATGGGAATGAGAGCCAGCCTGACCATGAATTAGCTACATCTCACTAACACTTCGGGGAGCTTCCCTTAGGTAAAATTTCTCTTACCTTTGTGCAAGGTATCTTGCACTTAATGTTCACCAGAAGTGCTCATGAGGCACAGTGTTCTGCGTGTCACCATCTCAATACTTTGCTACTAATTTTCCCATACAGGCAAACAACCCTGGCTTATTCAGTGGCAGAAGGATGAAGGATTATCTTTGATCTCGTCTTATCCCCTGGATCCCGTGGGCTGGCATTTGTTCCATGTCTGCAAACACACGAAAAGGATGGAAATCATAAAGGAAGAGTTCAGAGAACTCCTCAAAGAGGTGAAGACTAAGATCTTTCCAATAATAACCCACGCCCCATAAAAAGATTCTAGATTTGGATAGACAAATTGGAAGCAGCTTGCCTCCCTGATTCTTCCTTCCCTTTGCACTTGCACCCTTCCCCAGCACAATACACAGGATTTTCCAAAAGCTGTGCAACCCATTGAACAGCGGTGGTCTAAACTATTATGGAGATCTTAAACTGCTGAATTGTTACAAGCTAAAATTGATTGCAACTGAGCCTATGAACTGAAGTGCTAGAAAGTGCATAGATAGAAGTGGAGAAAGAGTGCTGAGGATTTAGCTTCTTTATGTTTTGTGGGGTGGTTTTTTTTGCTTTTCTTATGCATGCAATACCATCATAAGCTTTTCAGGCAATCTTGCCTTAATGAGTTCTGCATTTCTCTCTCTCAGTAAGCATTGGACAGTTTCTCGTGGTATTTCCAACATAAAAGGTATTCTCGGTTTGTCTTCTAATTTGCTTGTTGCAGTGTCATTTCTGAAGAATTGTACAAGTGCTTCAAAGTCAGATCCAGAGGGAAAATCGATGATGTGGATACTATGATATTTACTCCCCCTCAAGCTAAAATAGCCTTTTTAGCTCTTTAAAACTAAAAATCCTCTCTTAGCCTGTTTCACTCTATTCTGCATTGGTTTTATTTGCACCTTCATCACCAGAGCATATGAACACCTCCGAGTAGTACATTAAGCAATGTGACTAACATCTGTCATGTGGGGTTTTACTTGTTCTTTCTCAGCATCCTTAAAATGAATTTAGGGCTTGCTCTGGATCGATAGCGCTGGAGACAGACCGTCTCTGTTTAGCCTCGGTGCAGGCATACCACCTACGAGACCCTCCTGACGGGTCCCTCCACCTGCTGCCCTTCTGCCCTCTCCCCCGAGTCCCAGTTCATGCGGGAGATGCAGCTCTGACAGTGGGACGGAGAAGTCTGAGCAGTTTGGGGAGACCCGATGTGTTTGTCAGTGTTTGCCCACTCTCAGCTGCACACCAAGGGACCCACGTGTGATCTTAGGTGCCTGCAGTAGCAAAACTACTCAGGAGCCCAGCTGGATCCAGCAGCCACTGATTTTCCAAGGTTTTCTGCCTTCCTGAGGCTGCTTTGCTTACTTTTTGGTATCAGTTACAATTTACGGCTGTTAATGGACAAAAATGTCAGTGTTTCTCACCATCAAAAGCCTTCTCTACTAGATTTCTGCCAGTGGGAGCCTTTGAGAGAGATGGTGGTCTCAGACACTTGAATTCAGGTCAATACAGGTCTCCTGCTGAACAGGGCTGGCAGCCCTCCCCTACGGAGCCAGCACCAGGAGCAAGATCTAGGCATCCTGAGGCACTGTAATTTCAAGTAATATGTTTTCTTAATGGGCCAAGAACGCTTTGCCTAATTTTGCTTTCAGTGCATGGGACTGTTATTGCTCAGTGGGCTCACACAGGTGTTTAAGCATTTTTGTGGTATGATTTTTCAGTAGCGGCATAAGGTTTTATTGACTGTTACCTAAAGAGTAACTTCAGAGGAAACGAGCATTCGCAGTTGGTTGTGATGGACGCATGTGGAGCCGTGGCAGAAAACCCAGGAGCTGGTGACCTCTCTGTCACGGTCTGTTGTATTTTGAGTAAGAGCACAAAGTAACTGAAAAAGGACACTGCTTTCCATGCAGTAAGAAGAACTAGGAGGAATGAAGTTACTGATTTATTTGTTTCCCTGGAAAACTGTTGGTTTCTCAGCTCTGATAATGGGAACGTACCAAGGACAGTTGAATAGGTAAATTAAATTTCAATGTTTGTGAGGATACTGGGGTATGGTGCTTATTTGGCCTATGGATATGCATTACATGGCAGACTAGGGGACTCTGGTCCCTGTGTGGTAATCTAAATTATACAGCTTTTGACACATAAGAGACCTCTGCCCCACAACTTGTCCTTGCTCCAGTTCCACAGTAAGTCAAAACTCAGGTGCGTAACAGTCATGTCTCCTCCCTGCCACCAGCCTGTACCCTGCCACCCATAAAACACCAACCCAGGTACCCAGCCATTTGGAAACCCATCACCCTCCAGCAGGACCCACTCAAGGCATGTTCCAGAGCCCGTTCCTCTAGACAAGATCTGGGACTGTGCTACAGTGTTAGCAGCAATGGAAACATGAGTTATCTGATCAAGAAAGATAAATACATCCATTTCAGAATACATAATCTTACCACATATGTGAAGTAGTTTAACCATTAGCAAGTTGTCAAGCATTATTGAATGGAATTAGCCTCTTTATTTCTGGTCAGGATCAATCTTTTTTTCCCCTTCCCAGTACAATGAGTGCTTATATGTTACACATGGCAACGCCTGGGGCAGATGACACTTGTGAAAGGGCTTGATGATCAATTCTGATACAAATCTGATGTGAAGAGACTTGAGAGAATCTGGATCAAGGAGAGAAATAAACCCACATTTATTGCTGTGGCACTCCTAAATATCTGTGCATGTTGTATCTACCTCAAAACTGTTTGGATCCAAAAGCAAGTATGATGCACAAGGGACGCCGTATGGAATGGTACATGGACAGAGTACAGGGGTGAGGATAGCATTTCACATTCACTTTCTGAATTGAATATCGTGGAAGTGTTAGATGTGGGATTGACAGCCCTTCAGAACGAAGTATGATATTAATCATAAAACCATGGGGCAGAGAAATGCTAACAGCCTCTTGTCCACCAACTGTGGTGCAGAGACCATAGGCAGAAGAAAGAATTTCTGTGATTTTTATTCACTAAAAAAAAATCTCTGTTACATTTGCACCTCCGATTCTGGGATGAAAGAGAGACCTATTACCAGTCCCAGGCCTTGGAGCCATGCCTTCATTTACCACCAGTCGGCTTTGCTCCTCTCCTTTTTTCTTCCCAAGCCTGGCTGTATATGAGTATTCATGAACGCTCTTTATTATTTCTCCCCTCACAGTTGCTTTTTTCTTCCCACACCTGCCAACATTAGCTCCATTCTTTGAATCACGCTGCTGTACAGCCTAATGCATGTGATCTCCATGCCAAGATGTTATTTAATTTCCCAACAAAGTTCTTTTGGCTTGGAATGAGCCGAGCAGTAAGAGCACAGGAGGGGAGGCATAGACGGGGGTGGGAAGAGGAACGAGAAGGAAGAGGGACTCAAATTTACGTTGCCTCTGGCTTCATGTACCAGAGTTGTGCTGCGAGGGGCTGGGGAGCAGTGTGGGTGGGGTGGAAATGGCAGCAGGGGGTTCATCGATGGCAGGTTGCTGAATCAGGAACCCTGACACTCGTGAAGTACTCTGTCAGGAACATTAAGTATCCAAAAGTGATAAAGCTTCAATTTGCTAGTCCATTAGACTAATTACTGCAATAATTAAGTAACTACTTGATTAGAACTAATGGGTACCTAATTATCCAGGAGAAAAGTATCAGGTGGCAATTATCAGGTGGCAATTAATAGACTGGAGTTAATGTCTTAGCACTGTCTTTGTATGAATTCATAAGCAAGGTAAAGAAAACAAACAATAACTTATTAATATTTATTGGTGCCACAGTGTTTTTCAGCTTGTTTCATTTACACAGAACCAATTAGTGAAAAGACAGTTAGTGTTGCAAAGATGTAAAGTGACTGAAGCAGGAGTTTGATTTTAAAGGAACAGGATCACATTAGCACTTATAAGCAAAGACAAATGGGTATCAGCCAGGGACTTGGTTCTGGTGCTACTAATTCATCAACAGAAGAAATCAGAGTAATTGAACTCAGTATTAATAATGAAACACACAGGAAGGCAGGTCCTGTCTTAATGGGGTTCACTTTAGTTTTGGTCCCTCCCTGAGTCTTCATCAGCATTTTCTACATTGCACAGGAAATGGAGGGAGCACCTTAGTGAATGAATGGGAACTACCTCCACTGGCATGGGTGGAAGACACCACCATGAAATCTTCCAGATCAATGCTGCAGGCTCTCTAAAGGAGGCAGATTTCCTGGAGAGCTAATGCCTGGTTGCAATGCTGCTACAAACACAGTTCCCATAATGAAGGCGAGGTGTAGAACTGAATTCCTGCCCATACGCTCTGTTTACCTGTGTAAAGAAACCATAACAACATTTCCAATCCAGGTAATTTCCCCTTAGTTTAGCACCCATTTGAAATATCACTGCTAGTTCCCATGAGTGAAGTCTAAAAATCAATCTAACCTCCTTTAGACCTCAGACGCTTTGGGTGGAGGGGTTTTTTTTGGAGGTTTTTTTCATGGCCATCTCCAGGGCCAGCTTCTCACACGACTAAAAATGCTGTTGTTTCATTGGTGTCAACAGGACCGTAGTGAATTAGGCAGAACCAAAATATGGGCTAGGATCTACTTTTCCCCACTCTCTTCTCCAGATTCAAGAGGCTTTAAATTTCCCAGAAGAAAAATGAAAAATCCCAGGGAATTCCTTCCTACAAATTTTTATGGCCCTAATGATCATTGCACCTCTTAAATGAGCTCCAAACCAAAAACCATTGTGCATGCAAGTTGTCTCCATGCCTCTTTGGAAGAGTTCATATTAACAATAATTACTCTCATGAGTAAGAGTTTTTACAGTGTGATATACAACAAGCTGGTGTTGCTTTTAAAGAGCAGAATGAAGGGTTCCCTTACAAACTTTAATCCTTGAAAATTCAACTCTTAGCAGATGAAAGACCAAATTATTTGATGGATTTATATCAGCACAGTGAGATGCAGGTCTGCACACTACATGGTTTTACAGAGGCTGAGGATCTGGCCCCTAAAATAGCTATTTCCCCCCCTCCATCCTTTTCTCTATGGTATAAATAAATGAAAGGTGTCCTAATCATATTTTAGACTGTGTGCAGAGTCACACGCTAAACCATAATGTCTGTATATTAGAACATGTGGAATGATAAATGGAGATAAATCTAAAATTTATAGAACATGAACATTTGCATAAACTGCAATATCCAAACACATAGGCTGTTAAGTAACAATTGTCACAAAGGGCATAAAAAATTCAACTTTGTTTCAGGAAAAGAACTCAAATTCCTAACATGATTAAGATAATATATCATTTGTTCCTATCTTATTAAAGGCGTAATTGTTGTTAGACACAGAAGTGGCATTAACTCTAATCTGGCTTTATATATGTACAAATAGGAGGGGAGGTGAATGTGAAAATTGATGCTTTTGGTGATCCATAGGCATTTTATTAATGTTTGAATAATAACTGCCTGGAGGGCCTGTTATAAATTAAAGGGACGAATTGAGATATAAATTTTTATGAGGACTAGTTATACATTTCCATTATGTGTTTAAAAATGAAGGAATTACTGTGAACACAGCAGAACTCACATTTATTTGAGGTGATTTGGATGGGAGGGAAGGTGCAGTGAAGGAAGCTGCATGCTGGCTGTAAGAAAGATGTATCTGTCCCTTTGAAAAGATATATCATATGTCATGCATGAACTCTGTTCTACGGGAGACTTTTCTCTGCAGCTGATTTCGCATGATTATTTATTTGACAACAGCAAGTGATGATATAGCAGCGAGTTTTAGGCCACTTAGAGAAGAATTCTTATTCTTAAATCATAGAGGAGTTTCCAAACCCCAACCACTGTCAAACTAGAGTTAATCTAAGAGAGGAACCCAGTAATCTCTTTGGCATTTATTTCTCGTTATTCCTCCTGTCTGGATACACACATCTTCATTTGCTGTGCATCTATGGGACCAACAGCGTATTTCAGAGCTTCCTCCTGCCCTTTGCTGGGGCTGTTTGTGGGAGCTCAGCTCCCGTTGCTGAGCGAGCACCAGCCCCACTTTGTTATTCACCAGCACAGATGCCCTGGGAGCCTCAGCCAGTGCCATCAATGTGCTTTTGCTGTGACAACAACCCAGTATCTATCTTCATTCAGACACAAACTTTGGCCCACAACTGCATCAGTTTATAAGGGAGAGGACAATTTACCCAAGACCGAGCAAGTCACTTAATATGTGGGGACCTGTTTTCCACCCCTTGGTTTATTGCAACCGACCCCCAAGGGCAAACCCTTTTCGATCAAATTCTCCAGGTTACTTAGCGTTTACCTCTTGTTTAGATGTTTGATTGCTTTTGATTTCCATAGGTGCCATGAAACTGATGCCTTGGAGGTCCTGAGCAGTATTCTCTGTGCCTCAGTTCCCTGTCTGTAAGATGAGGGCACTCACAGGAGTGGTTTGAGGAGGAAAGTGTTCATTGTGATGATGTCTGGAGAAACAACAATGTTCTATCATCTGCAGACATGCTACATTGATGTAGCAGCTCTGCTAGTGTGTGTCAGTGGTGTTTTAGTGGAAGACACAGTACAGGGGTCTTCATCTTGCAGTCTTTCAGGTGAGTCATTTAATTACTTTCAAATTTTATAGACCTTTTTTTTTTGGTTTGTTTCTCCGAACCTTCACTTTAATCAGACTCACAAGCACTAGGCAAGTACTTTCTGTTTGGACTAGGCCTGATTCATTGGGAAATAAGTTTTTCTCAAGCTCCTGGCTTGCAGGGAGCCTAAAGCATTAGTGGAATTGATAAAACATTGAGACCTAGCTCAACCTCATTCCCCATCTTTGAAGCATTGATCTGGGCTCCACCATTCAGGAAGATCATTGTGTATCCTTGGAGAAGAGCTGTTGGGAGTGTCTTTTGATCTACAAGCAGCATTATTATTATTCTTTTTTTTTCCCAAGGTGGAAATGAATTGTTCTGCAAGAAATATGACAAAATGTCCTCATGGTTCTCATTAAGGTTCCTACTTTTAGCAGCCCTTTGGATCTGGACCAGCTCCCAGGCAGCTCACTCTATGACAGTAAACCTCACCCTGTGATTTGATAGTAAGAGGAATGATCAGCTCTACTTAGTTCCTTGTTCATTGACACAGTTGGTTCAGCTTTCCACGACATCAGTTCTTTGCCTCTAATCTTTCAGCTGAGGAACCCAATTTGTGACACTCCTAATCTTACCCAGATCAAGTTCCCAGATTCCATTACCTCCTAGGATAGTAGTACCATGGTTGTGTCTATCTCTTCTCTAACGGTACTTACATAACGTAGGTCATTTCCCACAAAATCATACAAACAACCTCATTGCCTGGGAGTTGTTGCAAAAATATCATCCAACAAGCACCAAAGCAGCAAAAAAATATTCTCCAGTCAATAGGAGCCTTTCCTAAATGCATTACAGAGCTGAACAAGTGACTAATTAGACAAGAGTCGTACTGTCTGTTTTCCAAAACCATGGGTTTTTTTCTGTGCTTGTTATTGAAGGGATAGCTTCACAAGAGTTTCTTTAGGGTAGGTGCAGGGGAATGTTGCAGAGAGTAAGTTCTATGACAGAATTAGCAAATGTATTAAGTACAGTGCCAATCTGGTATAGCAGAAATGACTAAATACCCATCAGGGCCTGTCACTCGTCAAGAAGTGAAATCTTAGACCCATTTAAGTCAATGACAAATGTTCACAGAATCTGGCTGCAAGTTAATAAATGTTTGGAGCCTGTATAACTCAAACTCCGATATTTGTCAGATTAATTATTTGATTGATCTTATTGTCTGTCAAATAATTTCTTTGTGAAGTTAGAATGCTTTGTGTTTTATTATCTATAATTTTAAATAAGAAAACATCATACATGTATGGAGATACATCATTGCAAGTTTTATGTTAGGTCATAGAGAGTTATTATACATAATATGAAATCATATAACTAAGTATGGGATTGTAAAATGTTCAAAATGAGCCACAGCTGAGGTTGTATTTCCTGCCTGCTTTGGGTCATTTCCTGGTTTAGGAGCGCTTTAATATTCAACCTGAACTTTCTTTTATCATATTCTTCTCATTAGGCTACATACATGTAAAATGAAAGAAAATAACTCTACGTGCACACCAATTCCTTCAGCCTACCCTTGCCTTTAATACAAAACAGAGGATTTCAAGACTATATACATCAGGTGTTTTCAGCAAAGTAGCAGCAGCAGCAGCAAATCATAGACATTTGTCATTCCTTGGAGCTGTCTGACAGTTCTGACAATTCATTAGGCTGGGCTGAAAAGAGGTTTAGAAAGCAAAGGAAGGATCACAGGTAGTGGAGTTGCTTTTGCATGATCCAGTAATAGCTGATTTGTATCATTTTTGGTGATGGATACACTGTTCAGATTAAACTCAGCTGAATTTTTCCCCTTTATTCTCTTTTTTTTCTTTCTCTTTTTCCTCCAACAGGAGCTTCTGGGCACATTACTCTAGATTTAGACCTCAATTTATCCCAAGAAGTAGATGCCAAGGAAATTCTTCCTGGTAGCTACTGATATTTGTGGCTTACTAGAGCCAAGGAGAAGTGAAGTGAGCTCTGCTATTCCGTTTCTACCCAGTGAGGCTTTTCTTTTTCATCGTGTTTGAGTTACATTCCTTTCTGTGGCTATACCATGACACGTGCCATTCTTCAAAGTCAGAGTCATTCCCACCTGACTGCATGCAAACCAAACCTATGACATCGTTCAGCGGTAAGTGCCTCCATTATCCCACTCCTTCCACTTACCAATTTGCTTTTGAGACTCGTACACAAGCAATTTTTTGACTTGAAGGCAAATCCTCTGCAATAACGCTGAATCTGCAGAATAGGCCACCTGGAAAATATTTGGTCTTCTGTTAGAAAACATTTCCCTCTTCTAGGCTGGTGGGCTGTCTCGAATCATGCGACAATGTAAAATGCCTGGGTCAGATTCTGAGTTGATGAGGGAACGTTGTCCGGCCAGAGAGTATCCTGGGGGTCAGGAAAACGATGGTCTCGGGGATCAGCAATATCACGGAGCCCGCTTAGCCCTGCAGAGGGTGAATAGCTTTCCATCTTCATTCTGTCTGTTTTATAGCTGCCACAGAATAAGCAGTCTGAGATTGATCCTGACCCAGTAGGATTATATGGAGGTCCTACAAGAGCAATATTTGCTCTTGATGACCATTGGAACATACTAACTTAAAGAATTTTAACATCCTGCTAAAAGAAGGCCTTGTACACAGTATTTTAGTATTATTTTTTTTTTTACACATGAGGTCTCCCAGACCCTAAAAGCCATCAGTAAAGTTCTAAGTACTTTCTAATTTGTACCTGTCTTTCTTCTCTGAGGTTCAAAGAGCTACAGCACCACCTCATCATCCATCTTGGACACAACTCCTTCAAGCAGAGTTGCCGACCTGTCTCAGCCAAAGGCTTTGCAGCTTTTAGCTGCTGAATACTCAGAGAGAAATGAACCAGACTTTTTAGCTGGACAACCTCAGAACTGGAAATTACAGCAGGGCTCTGCTTCTTCCAGCATGTCTTTATTGGCCTGAAGTCAGCCCCTTTCTTCTGGAAATGAAGGTATTTATGGCCCCGTGATCCTATGTGCAGGACTAGGTGGTTTAAAGTAATTGATGATGACACTTGTGGATGCTGGCTTATGTGTCGTGTTGTCTGATGTGCCTCCATATTTGCTTGTAGGTTGTGTGATTTTTTGCAGTTGGTTGTGAGCAGCAGGCTGCGCTTGCTGGTTTGTTATTCTGGACTTGTGCATGTGGGTTGAACTGTTGGCATTAATTATTTTTAATAGGGAGTCAGACACTGAATTACAGGATCCTACCCATAGATATAAGAAGAAACAAAGAAACAAATGGCCCTCCTCTCCCTCCCCTGACATAAGTCATATTTTGTCTCCTACGACCTCAACCGGCCCTTTAAATTTCGTATCAAACATTAGAAAGAAAGAGGTCAAAGTAAGAGCCCTGTTGAAAAAAAAAACCACAGCCAACCCAGATATGAACTATGGGAACTTGTCATCTTATCATCCTAATTGAAGTCATTCTGCAATGTATGACAGTCCATCATATATTCTGCCAGTCAGTGTGTCATACATGATGTGTAACGAGAGAGCTCATAAACCCAGAGGGGAAGCCCCTTCTTTTTTATTACTTTATTTGATCATTTTCATAAAAATTCCCCTTGCTCAATACAGAGGGACTGTTTATTAGGCCCATTAAAGCTTTGTCCATTCATTTGACACTGTGATTTACACAGCTTTGCCCACAAAAGAATCCCATTATTTCCAGCCTGGAGAGGTGTCTTTTTTATTGTGTGATGAAAAATAAGTATTTAATTCCACAGGTGAAGGCAAAGAAAGGGGAGGTTGTTGTCAGAGGCTCAGAAGTAAACAAAAGGATGCTTTAGGTATAATTGACTCAGAGAAAGAAAACATTCCCAGTAAATATAGAAAAATAAATAAATAAAGATGCTCTTCCCAAGGAGTGGGAATTGAACGGGGCTCAGCTGAACTTTTTTTTTCCTCTCTGTGCCTTCATTAAAAACAGCAGAATTTGGCAAAATTTCCCTCTGTGTTCTACTCATGAATGTTTCTAGAAAATATCAGCTTTCATACGCAAATATTCTTGAAGTGAAATTGGTGGCTTCCTTTGAACACAGCTAGTGCCTCAAATCCCATCTGCTTTTCCTACAACACGCCCACTCATTATCTAGCTTATTTGGCTTTATTTTATTTTTTTTTAAATGAACACAAATTAAGCTATTTAATCAAATATGTACATGATTACATGGCATTTTTGCATAAGAGTTATACACCCACGGAAATCATTAATCACAGATAACAACACTATGTTAAAATTAGACATTTTGCTTTCTTTCTTTTTGTGTGTGTGTGTGCTTTTTAACATAATATCCTGCGTGGCTCTAATTTCACCTCTACTCTCATTTGAATAGAGCAGGATTGTTTTACATCAAATTATTCATTTGTCTGTAGCTCTGATAATTGGTATTTATGTTTAGGCTTGATCTCAGAGGAATAATAATACAGGACTTGAAAATAAAATTGGAATGGATCGGGTTTGTTTTTTTTTTTTTTATTTTTCCCCCTTTTGCTTGCACGGAATGTCACCATGAATGTCCATTGGCAAACTGGATAAGAAAGAGTGTCATAGTGCAGGACAACCTAGAAGATGACAGGTATTTCCAGGCATAGCAATGATGAGATCAAATTCCCCTCAACCTGCCTTGTTTGCTGATCTTTTAATCAGATTCAACTTCACTGCAGCTACAGCACAAGATTCTCTGACAATGTATGACAGCATGTGACAGAAAAATATTTTGATTTTTTTTTTGGCCATTTGATGCTATTTCAGATAAATCTGAAACCCCAGCAGCATCTGATAAATCTACCAAACTATTTCAGTGGAGGTTTTTAAATGAACATAATTGAACTGGAGGGTTTGGGGTTTGTGTTCATATGGTTGTAGTGGAATCCAAACAGGAAAGCTGGGAAATGATCTAAACCCTTTGAGGTTAACATGCCATGAAAGAGCATCAACGACCAAAGAGGACATTATTAAAAAGCAGCCAACCTAGCTCAAAAAGAACCACTGTGTGAAGCAAGAGCCCACAGAACAACACCCAAGGCTGTTTGTGATCCCACAGGGATACGTATTTCATCCCCTGTCTTCATCTCTCCAAATTTCCTCTGAACTGCTTCTGAGCTGCATTCTTGAAAAAGAAAAACACCGGCAACTACTGAATGCGTCTTATCAACCTTTTCCCCACAATCTGCTTCATATTCCTCTCACACCCGTGTTCTTGCAGTGTCTTGGGGAAACGCTTGGATCAAAGATAAGAGAGAACAAGGAAAGGAATGAAGCAAGAGAGAAACAACAAAACAAAACCACCACCCCCCAAACTTTTTGACTAAACTCCTTTGTGAATCGTGTGCATGATTACAGCAAAGTTAAAACTGCCTTCTTCTTCACCAGTACTTAATTCCTGCTTTTAAAATCAGGCTCCCTTTGATCTTGAGGATTGAAATGATCTGGAAATGAAACAGCCATTGCTTTGCAGAAAATCTGGATAGGGTCCCAGACATGGCTTTTACCTGGAAGGCTTCCAAAACAGGATGAAATCTCTCTAGTTTCAGAACAAATTGCAAGATTTTTTCTCTGTGTCTGGTCCAACTGTGAAACTCTAGCCCCCATGTCTGCTGTTGCCCAAAGCGGAGATGTAATAACCTCTAAGGTGAACCGAGAGCTTTATTCCTCCATCTTCTCCCCTCTGCCTCTCCTCCGAGGGTCAAGGGCTGGGAGAATTTTATTAAAGCAAAGGCTTAAAGTTCTGGGCAAACTTAAGTTGAGGAGACAGTTGGTTATAACCCAGGCTAGATCCAGACATGTGAGGGTTGGAGAGGACAGGGGACCAGGGCCATCTGTAACATCTGGATCCTCTTGAAGGCACAGAAATATCTGCTTGGCTTCACATGACCTAGTCCCAGGGCCAAAAGGGCTGAGAAATGTGGTTAAGAGACACTGAAGCAGGCTTTGCCCTAGCAAATAAGTCCCACTGAGAAAGCAAGCACATCAATATTTCTTTGAGTGTGGTTTTTTTAGTTAATATATTTCCATATGTTACATGAATATTTCTTTTTTAGGGATTGTGAGTCCATCTGGACTTGTATTTGGAGGGCTTGAGCTGGCAGATCCCTACCCTGTGCTCTGTTACACAGAGACCAGGACTGCCCTTACAAGGATGGGTAGCTGGTTGGATAGAGACAACTTCTTCTCAGCCGTCTTTTTAATTAGATGGACTTCTCAAAGCAATCAAGACAACCAGGCTACTTAATGTCAATAAGCTCCCACAGTGCCACTTTTTATGCTACAAAAGGAATATGGGCTCTGTTTCTGAAGCACATCCATCCAATATAAAGAGTCCTCTCTCTTTTTGTGTGCTAAATGGCCAGTCGCTGCACACTGCAGCAACCTCCATCTAGGAAGTGTAAAGGAGAAAGGATGCCTAGGCATCAATACTAAGCAGAAAATGTGCTGAAATATCATAGTTTGCCAAGACAATAAGAATCACTTTCCTTTGCATGTGTTATTAAGGAACTGGGGAATAATTATCTGCTTTAATACAAGCTTTTTCCTTCTGCATGATTAACTTCACTGATATCAACAGAGAGTGTGATGACTCTGAAATGACAGCTCCTGGTAGCACGTTCTGGGATTAGCAAAAACAGGTTGTCACTTTACCCTAGTGAGGAACAGTCGGTCGTTCTGTGCTGGGTGCTGGGCAGAAGAGACAGATTCTGCACCAGACATCCCACCGCCCAGGCGTCCAGCCTCCTGCCAGGTGGATCTCAGGTTGGGCACGCAGGGCTAGCAGCTTCAACAGGAGGCTCGATTTTCTGATGCAGCACAGTGTAATTTTGGCTATGCGGCTTCCAGACTGAAAGCACTCAGTTCTCCTCATGCTAAACTATGACCTCCATTAGCCTGGAGATCTCTGACCAGCCCTGCTGTGAGGTACTGAGCTCGCTTTCTCACATGGTTCACAGAAATAGAGTCGCATGGGGTTGGAAGGGACCTCTGGAGATCATCTAGTCCAACCCCCCTGCCAGAGCAGGTCCACCTACAGCAGGTTGCACAGGAACTTGTCCAGGAGAGTTTTGAATGTCTCCAGAGAAGGAGACTCCACCACCTCCCTCGGCAGCCTAAACCAGTGCTCTGCCACCCTCAATTCAGGTTCCACTGCTCTTGTGGTTCAATGCAGAATGCATTGAGCAGAGTCTAAAATATTATGTACTTTAAAATGCCTGACTCTAATGATAGCCCTATCTCTGACTACTCAATGTGCAAAGTGATGGCCCATACACCAGCCCGTGGAAGGGATAGAGGGAGAGGTAGGATAAACACACAAGACAGTAAGTCAGAGTAACGGTATGGAAAAACCACACAATCCTTCTGTTCTTACTGAAGATGTAAAAAGTCTGTCAAATGGCTTCTGTGGAAATTAATCAATATACAGAAAACTGCATAGCAACTGCGTGGACAACAGGAACCTGCCTATAAATTAAAGAAGGCTACCATGAGTTCGCAGAGCTATCTGGGGAGAGCACTGGGGCAGAGTCGCAGGGCTCAGCTGAGCTGGGACAGGGGCCATAGAAAGGGATCCTTTGGTAAAGTCCTTGTTTTGTCAGTGTCAAGAAACATAGGAGCTGTAAAACAAAGCAAACTGCGTGCATGGAAGCAAAATAGAAATTTGGTACAGCACCACGTTCTTTTGAAAATGTTATAATAATTTTAAAAAGATGATGAAATATCTGTATATTTTTTAAGAAAAATAAGAAATGAAAAACTAACTCTCAAAATCTATGAAATATACAGTGAAGAGTTATTGAGGACTGGTGGGGGGGTGTTTTTGTAATTCTGTAGGCATCCCAGTCCTCTGGTGAAATGATGTATGGGGCAATCGTCTGGTAGGGGCTGATGGGATGTAAATGAAACTAATTAAGGAAATGTCAAACATAATTAATAAAACAGGTTTAAGTTGCAAAAGCACTGTCAGCTGAATGAATGGGGAAGAATGCTGCCTTCCCATTGTTTTGGGGCTTGCTTGCTTATTTATATATTTATTTATTTATCCCTTGCTCGCCCCCTTGCCCTCCCACCAGTTTTTCAGTTGCACCGTTCAATTAGATCTCAGAAAGCTCTTGGTAGCTTCTCAAATTTCCACCTTGCCCCCTTCTGAGCTGAGGTCCCATAGAATAGGAGGAATATAAATTTGCCCTGTCGTCTTGCAGCCTGGGAAGAAGAAGAAAAAAAAAAATTAATTGCTAACTCCTTGTCTTCCCCAAGTACTACAGGACATTAACATAACCAATTTGCTTGAACTCCTCACTGGCTGCTTAATAGAGCATCTGACCAGCTGATAAGACCTGGGTGCTGCTGCCTATGATACCTTGTTATTAGCATTTTCATAATATTCAAATATTACAGCCCCATGATTCACTAGCCTCCATTCATTATTGATAAGTACAAAAAATAAATAAAAAGGGTTTATAAATAGCAAAGGGGGGTGAGCGACCTATAATTATGGCAAGCAAATTAGGGTGCATGGTAGAGTCAGTTACATTTGCCTAGGAGTAATGATGCTCAAGAACTTTTTCTCCCCAGAGACCAGAAAAATAATGGATTCCCTGGCAGCTGCAGATGGGCTAGGAAAGGCTGTCACCCAGGACAGTGTTTATATAAGTTAGGCCGAGCATATGGCTCTGTGTCCTGCCTGTAACCGCCTCCAGATATTGCAGTTTCAATGAAAAGAAATAAATACATAAATAAAAATAGCCCCTCACTGGAAGGTGGCGGTGAAGGAAAACGAGGAGGAGAAAGGTAGAGGGGAGCAAAAAAGCAAACAACCAAAGTGAGTCTGCTCAGAAGTTTCTGCTGAGAGCAATCCCAGCAGCTCAGGGATCAAGTAGGAGCGTTATCTTTAAAACCAGAGGCTCTTGAGCTGCATCACTGAAGAGAGAAAGACGAAATGTGATTTCCGCTAACATAAAACTTTTTCCGTGTTGCAGTCCAAGGCAGTTGTACTTATACACCAAAGCTTTGAGCCTGAGATGATAAAAATCATGGTCCTAGTTAAAAGTAGGAGCTACTAGAAATAACCACTGGATACTTTATAATTTAGTCCCTGTGGTTTTATTTCCATTAATCCAATCAAAGGCCTTTTTTCTTTACTAATGAAACTGGAATGAAACACAAAAGGGAAGCTGACCTGTTAGCAGGTGACTGTTTCTTATAAGTTATTCATTAAAAACACCCTAACGCTCTGGTGCTGAAGGAGGCTGTACCTACTTCTGTATAAATTAAACATAATTGAGTTGGTTGCAAGGAAAAAAAAAAGAAGTTATTTTTCCTAACTCCAAATCATTGTACAGCATGCACACATTGGAAACTGAACCCATGCAGATATTTGCATAGGGCTGGGGACTAACCCTTGCATTGCCAGCTGCCCCCACCATTTTCCATTCCAAGCAGCTCTGAATGGCAATTCTATTGTGGGTAGAAATATCCTCCATGTTTTGCAGTCAATGTACTTTAGACAGGATAAGAATTGGCCTTGGTTTGGCCTTTTGCTGACGTTAGAGTAAGCTCAGAAATAGAAGGGAAGAACTTTGGCAGAAAAACTGCAGGTCAGATGCTTTGTCCCTTTAATTTTCTTCTTTATTAAATGTAATTAAATTATTAGTGAAACTGGTTTTTGGCATTATATTGTTGATTCATGTCATTCAATCCTTCTGTTGGGAACTTTGACCAATGTGACACTGGCATTTCTTGAAAATACACTATCTGAAAACACCAATCTGCCTACAAACTTCACAGTTTGTTTTTCAGTTTTTCCAATATTTTTTCCCCCCAGATTCTCCCAGCACCTCTGTGGACCAGCATTATTAGCAAGTATGTACTCTGGACCGCATTCTTGTCTGAATATAAAATTCCTGAGAACTTTCCTGCATCTTAGCAAAAAATGAAGTGGAGATATTTATCAATATTTATTTATCCAATTAGCCACCCTCAACAGCCTGTGCCTGGAGCCTTGTCCGCTTTGATATGTGCAAAAAACGTTCAAACTTATTCATCTTTTGCTTGAACTCTGGCAAGGTTTACAAAGTAGACACAAGCTCGACAATGAACCTTACTCTGCAGCAAGCTTTCTCCCCAGAACATCCCCAGTCCCGCAGAAGTTCAGACCTGGGTCTAAGCTGTCCATCCCTGACACATGCACCCATCTTACAGAAGGATCCTTAGGCATCCTGTGGGCTCTGCTCTGCCTTAAGCCTCACATTAACATCATCGAGGAGAAATACAAATTCAAACTGACACAGACTTGCTTGTCTCTTCCTTTGTGTTTAAACACAGATGGTTGCTTTTGTTGTGCCGCCGCATTTCAACCGATGCAAGCAGCAAAGTACTTCACTGGAATATATATCTCTCCTTCAAACATTCAGGGTTTTTTTGTAGGTGAAGTATCATTCTCAAGAATATATACAGTGTTTTCATGCATCTTGATCTAATCCATTAGTCCTTATAATTTATTGTTAACTGCTTGGATGTAGGAGCCATGACAGCTTTGAGTAAAGCATTTAAGCAGGCATCTGCTTTGTATAAATTATAGGAACCTTGGTCACACAAGTTTTCAGAGAGAAACAAAGGTCTTTTACCAACATCTGTAGCTTTTTGGGATAGTGAATTATTTTTTTATCGTAAGAAGCTTTGGGTCTTGGAAACCACAACAGAGCAAATCTATGAACTACCTGCAGACTTGTTATTTACATTTGTATTTGGTATTGTACTAATGGCTCCATTTGCTGCAGACTTGCAGTACTTGCAGACTTGCAGACTTGCAAGTACCTGCAGACTTGTTATTTATATTTGTATTTGGTATTGTACTAATGGCTCCAAGGCAGGAGGAACACGATTGACGTGGGGGTTGGGAGCTGAAAAACACTTGGTTAGTCTCAAATCAGCTCCTTGGAGGCTAAAGCCCTGATTAACTATAACTGGAGTGGATTGTCTTAATCTGACTGCTGTAGTATTTTACGTCTAGCCATTCAGGCTTATTTCTGTAAATACTTAGATAAGCTTGAATCAATTACTTCAATGTCTCCCTTTGTCTCCTACCATCAGAAATGGCATGGTGTCATGATATAAGTAGGCAGAGCAGCAGGATCAGAGAAATGATACCTTGTGCACACAGAGCAAGGAAGATGTGTGTTAACAGGAGAGAAAGACATCGCCTCAGAAGATGACTTCTCATATGCAAAGAAGGATGTTCCACATTCTTGCTCAGTATGTCTCAAAAAGAAAACATTACAACCAATAAGAGTTGAAAAATCAATACTATTCTGAATATTAGACTGTCCCATAGGCCTTTCTCTCCTTTTTTTATCACCCCTCCTGCCTTTTGACTGACTGAGAGACATCTGAAAGGACAGCAGGACTTTTGCTGGTGATATGCAGTTGACCAAAGGTCTGATGTGCACATGCTCTTCTTGCCTTCTCACTTATGCTGCTTAGATTCATTCAGCTCACTCGTGAAGCTTTATGCATTACACATTTCCTGACTAAAACCAAAGAAGTCTGACAGAGCAAACTAATTGAAACACAGTACTCTGCATCTCACTTTGGCACCATCGTTCCACGCCGTAGCCGCACGGTTCAAAGTTAATAGAGTGCTGTGTCAGAGATGCCACTCACCCAGGTGAAATGCAACGCAATGGTGGACAAGCCTGGTGAGTGGTTTTCCTCTTCAAAAGTAGCTTGGAGACACGACTTCACTCTCTTTAGCACCTCTGGATGCACAAAGGCATAGCTCTGAAGGTGATGGGATCATATCAAATCTATCCAAGTGCAGAGCTTTGGTTTAATATTTTTTTTTTTATATATCAATGGCTGGTCTCAGCTCTAATTAACCTACTCCCCTATCAGTCCATTCCCTCCCCACATGCCGTCTTTTCCCCTTCCTCTCTGTGATCTCCATTTCACTGCAGAGATGGCCTGGCAAAGAGACATTATTCTATTTAGAAGCTGAGCACCTCACTAGGGGTGACAGGCCTGTTTTTAGGTCATTTATCTAATTGCTCTTTGCAGATAAGAATTAATTAGCCCGATTATTTTTCTTAGTTTTTGGATGGGTTCCCCACCTGGAGAGAAGAAATTCCTCTATGTCAGTGATTAATTGCTGAGCCAGAAGCTTTCTGCCTTGCATTTGTAATAAATGCCGACTGGTTCTTTAGGTCGCATTAGGAACCAGGCAGATTGTGGTTAAAATGCACAGGATAATAAAGCATTTGTACAAACAAGATCACTGCCATTACATTTTGATTAAATATTTTAATTTATCTGGAGGTTGAGGGACTGCAGGAATCAAAAGATTTAAGGTGTCCTATTCCCAGCACTCTCCGATGAGAGCCACACTATAGCCCTTTGATCTAAAACAGATGAACCTCATGACAATGCTTCAGTTTAGGATTTGGCACAGCTGGTTTGTCTCATACTGGTCCGAGTGCTCAGAGGGTCATCTGTCTGCGGCCAGCTCAACTTGGTTGGGATAACATTTTGTGAACTATAACAGGGCAGGAGGTTGGGTGAACTGAGGGAGGAAAAGTTAAGATTTCTGTTTGAAATTATGGCAGGTTTATATCCAGCTGAATTTAATGCAGCAGAAGTGTCTTTCCCTTCCCTTCCCTTCCCTTCCCTTCCCTTCCCTTCCCTTCCCTTCCCCTCCCTTTTTCTATTTCCTTTTTCTTTCCATTTCTGTTAGTTTCCTTTTTTTTTTTTTTATTTCCATAATAATTTTCAGCATTCAGCCCAAAGAAAGTGGTGTTTTTCTGCAGGACCTGCTAAAGAAAAGCACAGTGGCCTCAATTCTCTAGCTGGTCAGCCTAGGACATGCCTCCTTTCCAGGATTATACAGCAAGTCAGACAGTATGATCACTTGTGCCCTTAAAACCTGATTCCTGCCCTAGAAAGTTCATGGAAGAAAATGGGAGTCTTGCCATTTGTTTTGCTGTGCTTGTGAACTGCTTGAAGCCCCTGATGTCCCAACAGGAGAAATTAATTGCTGGTGTTGGAGCGGTTTCTCTAACACAGCTGATCACAGAAGACATGGAGCTGCCTACTTTACGGTGATCGCTACCACCTCAGAGAGACGAGGGCTGAAAAGGCAGAGGAATGAGATACTGACTCCCTCGGTCTCACAGCTGAGAGATGTTAGGAGGGCAGTATCAGGGCATCTGGCAGTGAATGCCTTTGCTGTGTCTGTTCTCTAGTAAAAAAATAAATCTTGCTCATCCTGAAACACTTACACAACCTTTACATTGGAGGGAAGTAAATTAGGGTCCCTGTGCAGACTTTCCCTGTTAGTGGGCAGAGTTATTTTACTGGGGATTTTGTTTGTTTGTTTTTTAATGGAAAGCAGAAAAAAAAAAAATGAGAAAACCAGAAAACATGACAATTCCTCTCCTGACAAGTGGGCTGAAGACTGAAGAGGATAACAGATATTTCTCTAATGTATAGGAACAATATTGCATTGTGAAAAGTAACTTTCCATGGAACTTCAATTCTTACTCAAGCACACTATTTTGAGAATACCATTCCCAACTGTGATTTAAAGACAGAAAAATCTAGTGCTACACTGATGGTTAGTCAAAAATCAATGCTTAAAAATTGCTCCTACCTTCAACTTTGAGCTATAGGATGGCTTTGAGTATCGAGCAAAGCCCATGCGTGTCAGATATAGCTGATATATCTCGCTACCTACAAAAATGATCAAATTTTTTTTACCTTTTCTTTTGTTAAATTGAGACTTCATTCTGGTCACCATTGCTGCCTGCATTTCATAACTAGACCAGGATAAACACCCAAGACAGAGTTGTTTTCTTTACCTGATATCCAGGAGAGTCAGATATTTGAATTCAGTGGGAGTAGAGCTGCTAAATACTATTTTTGATTTTAGCTATTGGAACCTATTTTAACTAATATATTACATAGTAATTTGGGAATCAAGACAACATCTCACCATGTCACTGGGAAGTTACATTACAACCCATTTTTCAGATGTGGAAATGGAGCTCCTATGAATCTCAGCTCTCTCCCTAACGCCACAAAATGTGTCACTGGAAAAACTTCACACAAAACCTTAGCAATTTCTGCTCTTGTTTTAAGCCCACATCAAACCATTTAATTTAAGTAAGATTTACCTCCCCCACCTGCAGTGTCATTTCTGGCACTCTACATGAGGAAATTTAACAATATCAAGTGGCCTGAGTTATGATAATGAAAGATGGTTGCTAAGAAAAACCGTGATGATAGCCAAGAAATTAATATTACAGAGATGAAAATCTTCTTATGGACCCAAAATAATAGATGTTCTGTATCAATATATGACTAATCAGCACTCAAGGATTTATCTTTCAAATTACAGAACATGGTAGAGACATTTAATGCAATATGGTCTCCCTTCAGAGAGATACAGTATGTGACTAAATATCTCCAGTGAGTAATATTCACACTTACTCAAGTACTGTAAATATATCCCTGATAAATCTGGAGAGTGAATTCTTGTAAATTCTTGTTTAACACTGCAAGGAAGCTTAATAACTTTCCAATCTATCAACATGTTTTAATTTCCTACTGTGCAGTTTCTAACTGAAACAGGGCATTTAACAGGAGATTCAAAACTGAGGGAGAATGGGCTATTATGTATTAGAAAACCTTGGTATCAAATGTGCTGCTGCATTGTATGGGTTTGGGCAGGACATTTTCAAATGTGAATGTTTCATTGCCACTACACCTAATTATGCATGCAATTTTTCATGTAAAATTAAGTGCATGTGGAATGTGCAGATTAAGAAAAGAAAAAATATCGTTCTACGAATAAGTGGAAATGGCTAAGAACCTGACAGAGGGATGCAGGCAGGTGGTTACACCAGCAAGTGACATTATGTGTACTTAGGCATATTTTCTAAGGTCCAGAATGCAGGCTGAGTAGAAAACCCAGTAAAAATCGTGCCACACTTAACAAAGCCAACCTGTTTTTAAGTGGTATTTAATAATGTTAACCTACATGTTTTTTACAGGGCTTGGGAAGGTTACAGGTTGGTTGATCAGTAAATTAGGTTTATGTGATGTTTCAAACCCCTAGTTTTCTCTCTTTTTTTTTTTTTTTTTTTAACCATGTCTCTAGGGTGCCTGACAAGGGCAGATCCTTAAAATCTAGGGGACTGCTCTGTGGTAAAGCGTCAGCAGCCACACCACCCAAAATCTGAATTTCCCAGTAGTTTTCAGATCTTGCCCCAAGAATAAAGTTCAGAATTAAACAGATCTGTGATGGATAGATGCCTGAACCATAGCTGCTGCGTGTGGATAATACATGAATCGATTTTTACTGATAAATCTGAAAACACCTCAACTTCTTTTCCCAGGTGTTAATTATCTTCGGTCATCCATAGTTTTTCCCCCCTAAGCTTTGGGATATTTCCATGTGTTTTAATTTCATTAAATGTATTTATGCCTTTCTCAATAATTGTTCTACTGCAGAAT